ATATATAGATAGATAGATAGATCTATATATATATTAAACACGAAGGCAACATGCACTTGATTTCACACATTTTAAAAACTGTGTGTCCTGTGCAGATTATACTATTAATAGCAGGCCTGATTTATCAAAGTATCCAGGGAAGGAACCTTTCTTTCTACTAAACAAGCAAATTCTTCCTTTTCTCTTCTGTAACACACAAGGAGACAAAGGAGGAATATGATTGGCTGATACTGGCATAACAGTTGTTCTCCAGATACATAAAAGCTCAATTTCTCTGTGTTCCACAGTCAAGTGTACTAGTCGACCTTACCTTTGCGCAGGAGGACCATCCATTATAATATTAATCCATAATATCTGCATGGCATTGAGGGGGTTGGGAAAATTCATTAATGTTGCAAGAGATATTAAGGTGAGTGCAGCAATACTCCTAAGGCGAAACAAAATATGAAATAGAAAAAGCGTCATTTGAAAGTCACGTTCCATCTGGTAGAGATAAAGGCAACACAGTCCCTGTACAGAAATCGTTTTTTGCCCATTTAACAGAGCAGAGCTAATCTTCTACGGAAGAATGTTCATCGATAACAAGGGATCAGTTCTATCATGTGTACAAGCTATGGTTGACGCTAATGCGGGACATTCAAGCTCACACAATACAGGACAAATGGGGGTGTATTACAAAAGGAACAATGCTCTACTTACGTGCTGAGCTGAAACCGAACAAAGTTTTTAATGTTATTGTAGATTCCTTTCCCTTCCTCAATGGCTGACCTGTAATTACAGCCATTTGACATCCTGTTATTTTCTAGGAAAAGACATCTTACACAACACCATCTGCGATAGCTATATTACAGCAACAAGACGACGATACCAGCTGTATTATACATACATGGAAAAAGGCCCCAAATCATCTTTGTCAATGTTATTTTCACCCTAACAAATGATTGTCAATAACATGACACAACATAGTATTGAGAAAAAAAAAAAGAACACATTGATATAAAAAGAAGTGCAGAAATGACATAAAAAATGGAAAATGATACTTATAATGTAACAACTTATAGTGACAAATACCATCAAAGTGAAAAGTGTACGCTTTATTTGTGTCTCTTCAGTGAATGCATTACCAGCTTGGAAATTATGAAAAGGATTGCCCTTTCCCCTTTCTATTACTGTGTATTTGTTCTCAGCCATTTCCGTACTAAGTGCATACAAATTATACTCACATAATTGTATGAAAATCATCCTCCACCAGGATCATGTCAGCTGCCTCTTTACAGACATCTGTTCCAGTCTTGCCCATTGCAATGCCAATGTCTGCAGCTTTCAGTGCGACAGCGTCATTCACTCCATCCCCAGTCATGGCGACCACTGCTCCAATATTTTGCAGACTCTGGGGGACAATAAAAACCCGTTAATTATATAGTTAGATGGAAAGTCCCTCCGCACAACGTTCCCGGCCAATGCAACAGTGGTGCTCGCAGTGATTACCACGGATGGCGTCGTGCAGACACAAGGCAGAAGACAGGAATCACCAGCACTCAGTAATATCATTCAATATGTCAATTTGGACAAATCGTCACAATGAAAAAAGCCAACGTTTCGGGGCCACACAGGGGATGTGACAGATCTTTTCGCCCTGATGAAGGGACCCTGTCATATTAAATGATATTACGGAGTGCTGGTGATTCCTGTCTTCTGTCGTTAATTACTGAACTTCCTATAGTCCTATATAAGTAGCAGCTATTTCTGTTACATGGGTCACAATGTGGGATCGAAAATAGTCCCTGCTTTCCAGCGACTATTCACAGACCTATAGGGAAGAGAATGGGACTTGTTACATAAGTCACAGGAACCTGCAATAGTCACAAACAGCAGCAGTGCAGTTCACAATGATAGGAATACTACAACAATCATGTGGCAATTCCCATTCAATTTTCCTTCTTACAAAGACTATAATGAGTTCAGGGATGTCGGGACAAATCTTTTGTAAGATTTAAAATCAATTACCTGTGTAGTAGAGTGTTCAATAAGCAGCAATGGTTGTACACTTGTACTTACATTTACTCATTATGGTGAAAGCCATTACTTACCTTTACAATTTTTAACTTGTGCCTTGGACTGGCTCTGTAGAACACAGACACCTATAAGATAAAGAGATTTTACATCATGATTACTTCATGTTTGGTTCATATAACAATAGAAATATTACGGTCTGAACTTATTGAGGGGCATATATACAAATAAATTAAAAAAAGGATTACATTCTGTAGTTCTCTCCTAATGCAACTCACACAAAATATAAAAAAACACGCTCATAGTAAATACATCAAATGTACCACATCTCCCCGAGCCATGCCCTTTCAGACCTCACCGCCCCTTTCACTGACCTTGAAGTCCTCAATACACTTAAGGCGCTTCCCTCGGGCAAAAGTCCTGGACCTGATGGTTTCACCACAAAGTTTTACTCACGGTTCAAGGACCATCTGATACGCCCGTTGGTCGGCTCTTTCAATTCTATCTCCCCGTCCTGTCCCTTTCCACGCCAGGCACTGGAGGGCCACGTAGTCGTCCTACCTAAACCGGGCAAGGACCCGACGCACTGTAACAACTACCGCCCCATTTCATTAATCAATGTAGAGGTCAAGATATACGTCAAACGTTTGGCCACGAGGTTTGCTACCCTTATCCCAGGCCTGATCCACAAGAACAGGTGGGATTTGTGCCTGCCCGTAGCGCCAAAGATAGCATTAGGAGGACGGTCACCTTAATACACTATGCTCGGTCACGGCATATCCCCTTCTGCCTATTCTCGGTTGATGCTGAAAAAGCTTTTGACCGTGTCAGCTGGCCCTTTTTACAAGCCTCTTTGCTCCAGACGGGCTTTCCCCCTGGTTTTGTGGGTAAAATAATGGCACTATATCATCGGCCCCACGACAGAGTACGGGTGAACGGGACACTTTCAGCCCCGTTCCAAATCCATAACGGCACCAGACAGGGATGCCCCCTCTCCCCTTTGCTCTATATCCTGGTCATGGAACGCTTGGCTAATGCCATTAGACTTTTAAACCCTCAGTGCAAGGTCTCCAAATAGGTAAACAGGTCTACAAACTAGGGCTATATGCCGATGACCTACTGCTCTACCTCTCCAACTCCCTGGTGGCTCTCCCTTCGGTGCTGCAGGAATTTAAATTATTCGGGGTACTCTCCAATTACCGAGTGAATCTCCAGAAGTGCGAGCTCTTAGATGTGTCGCTCACCCCCACAGAGAGGGATGGTCTTCGCGGGTCGTTTCTTTTCACCTTGCGCTCGGATTATATTACATGCCTAGGGGTTCAGGTGCCGTCCAACCGATCTGACCTTTACACACTCAACTTTGCCCCCCTGCTGCAATCCCTGGAGGATACTCTTGCCTCTTGGATGAACCTGCATCACACCTGGTTCGGCAGAATTGCCTTGTACAAGATGCACTTGCTGCCCCGCTGCTTGTACCTGTTCCAAACCCTCCCGATACTCCTTCCTGCCCTTTTCTTTAAACATAGTCGCTCACTAGTCCTACGTTACATCTGGCGGGAAACAAGAGGCCTAGACTTCGGTATGCCCTTCTAATCAAGCAAAAGGAGCATGGTGGGGCCGCGCTCCCGGACTTAGAGACCTACTATAGAGCCACTCATCTATCTCACCTGGTGGCCTGGTTCGACTCCCTTGATCCTCCCCTTTGGGTCACCCTCGAGAGGGACCTTTCCCCAGTCCCCCTAACTAACCTTCCATGGCTGCCCGCTGACCTGCGACCTCGCCGATTGGACCTTCCTTTCTTTCGTGCCTTTGGTGCTATGGGTGTGGACCACCACGATGGCTAGATATAACCTCTCTACATTTCAGGGCCCTATGACCCCCATCTTGGCCAACCCAGACTTTCCTGTGGGTTGTTGTGTGCCCACCTTTTTGTGCTGGAAAGCCAGGGACCCCTCCTATGTGTTCCACAGCCTGCATGGAAATGCCCCAAAGTCGCTGACTGCGTTGTTCCATCCAGACCCACCTCCACGGGCATACTGGTTAGCCTATTTTCAGTTCCTCCACTTTGTGTAGCTTTTGTCCTCTCAGGGCAATCTTTATAGGCCGCTCACCTCCTTTGAGAGACTTTGTGCTGCGGCTTTGCCGCTCCCACATCCTGTCTCCACGCTATACCACTTCCTGATCTCCGCAACAAGTGGGGATTCGCTTTATTACCTTGCGGCGTGGGAAGGGGAACATCCTCTCAGAAAATGATCGACGCAAAAGTCTTTGTTTGATGCATAAACTCAGTATGTCCCCCTATGCACGGGAACGGAATTTCAAGTTGTTGACCAGGTGGTACAGGTCACCGGTCAGGATGCATCAAATTAGCTCATTAAACCCTGACACCTGTTGGAGATGTCAGGCTGGCATATCTGATGGAGCTGCCCCATGCTTCTGCCCTTTTGGTTGAGCCGTCTCACACGTCTACTCACGAGTGGTCTCTAACGAAGTCCTCATCACACCTGAAATGGCACTGCTGTCCATCTTTCCGGGTTCCATCTCTAAGGTGAAGAAAACTTAGATTCCTTGTCATTGCTGCCCGCACTTTGATTCCTCGGTATTGGAACTCTTCAGTCGTACCCGCAGTGTCGGAGTGGACGGTGGAACTGTGTAAGCTGATGAGATCTGAGGAGCTAATCGCAGAACAGGCTGACCGATCTGATACCTTTATGGCCAGATGGCGCCTCGCTGGATAATGTTTATGGACTCTGAGGAGTACCGATCTCTACGGTGAGTGAGTTTTCCTATGCCTCTGTCACTATTGGGTCTGCAGTGGTGTGCGCGCAGGGGATCCGGTGGTTACCCTTCCACGGAACAGACAGGATGATCATTCCCTCCCTTCCTTCTTCTCCTTTCCCCCCTTCTTCCTATCTCTCTTCTACGTTCTCCCTTTCCCACCTCCACTCCTCACTTTCCCTTTTCCACCTTCTTTCATGTTTGTCTGGCGTGATGTGTTGTTTGTGGTTCCTTGGGCCCTCCACACATGTGGGTACCCTGCCCCCAGTTTGAAGTTAAATACCCCGAGATGCGCCCCCCCCTCTCCCTCAACGTGGAGCCATTGTAGGTCCCGCGGGGAGGTGCAGGGGAAAGGACGCTTATATGCCCCATTTACTGATTCTGCTGATTCTACATTGTATGTGGCGGAAGTTTTATTGGGATTTGTATTGCCCAAGGAATGTGAGATAGATGCTATATTTTATGTTTGTTTGTTTTTTGTTTTATGTACCTATGCATCCTACAAAAGAGGTTTCTGTGAAAAATCTTTAAATAAAAACTATTTCTATAAAAAAAAATGTACCACATCTCTCCATAGTCATTGTATCATTTGTCATATACTTATAGGGTTATTCACAAAAGGGTGAAGAGCTTGGAGAAGGCAGGAGAAGTGAACAATCTAGGACAACATAGCTGAACTGGAAAGTGAGCTTAATTAGAGAATGTTTCCAGCTCAGCTATGTTGTCCTAGATTGTTCACTTCTTCTGCCTTCTTCAAACTCTTCACCCTTTTGTGAATAACCCTGTTAGTGAACAATACAGACAGAAGATACTGAACAGTGTACTGTATATCAACATTGATTGTATTTGTGTTTTAGAAGAAATAAATCAATGTGAAATAAATATTTACCAACCTTTGGTACTATATGAGAAAGCTGCTGAATGTCCATTGCGTCTACCTCTTCTCCAGACAGAGACTGCAACCCATTGGAGTAGAAGCCCAGACGGCTAGCTGCAACAAAGAGCAACAATGTTCACTAATGTAGTATTTGTACTTGCAGAGCTACACATTCTGTAGATACAGTAATCATAACATGAATCTAAAGAAAATATCTGGTAACTTTGTAAAAAAAAAAAAAAAAGGTCAGGTCTTGATCCTGCAAACCTTTGTAAAACCCATTGCTCTCAGTAGCAGGCTACTGTCTTAGGTAACAGCACATGCATGACCAGCTCCCATTCATGCACTGTACTGCAAGCAGCTGGAAGGCCAATTTTCCAATATGAAAGCTGAGGGGTCTTTGAGAACCTGCACATACTGAAGAGATTGAGAAGACTACAAATGCACATGCGTTTATAAGACAAAATGAGAAGTGAGGTTCAGGGAACGCGCTTTAGGGGTTTTACCAGGATATGTAGCCTAATAGCAGCCACACAAGCTATCTGACTTTTTGCGGTCTTGGTAAACTATAGAAAACTCTTCCATCCATTAAACATTGTACTCAAGGAAGAAAAATAAGATTGCTTTTTTATTTTATACATTTTCATTTTGCAGAACGCTAACATATTCTGCAGCAGACAATCTTTCACACCTACCCTTACAAAGGACTTTTAATGTCCCTACAATAGTCTACAAGGCTCCCACAGACTGGCCAATTGTTTGGGTAATTTAAATAACCTACCTCTATGTTGTTAGGTGGAAACACGACTACCAATGGTAAACCCACAAACGCATGTCAAATTATACATTGTGTGTGTGTCTATGTTTGCATACATACATATGTACGTATGTAGACACACACACGCACACTTAAACATACCCAATTTTATTAAAAAATAGTAGGACAAGACACACATCTATTGGCTTCTATGAACTCCATTGCATATGCTGATTGTACTGAGGTTTTAAATAGGAACACTTGGCTCATAAAAATGAGAACATCAGTGTGGATGATAATTTTGCTTTGTAAAATAAGCTATCATACTTAACAGGCACCTGGTTCATTTTGCTGTACACGTTTCAAAAATACTAATTGACCTTGGCAAGTGCAGTCATGTAAAAGCACTCAGTACAAGAAAAGCTTCCAGTAAGTGATTCCACTTAATGTGATCTTCACAACTTAATATGCACTGTGCATGCTTGGAAGGAGAGGATTCACAATGAAATTGCCAGCCATCTCTACAACATTATTACAGCTAAGAGGACACCTATGACAGCAATTAAACTGTAATGCATGAAAGGCCCAAGTGTTTAATTACTTCTGTGTAATTACAGTATAGCCATCAATTCCTGTTGGAAGGGGAAAATGAAGAAAGGTATACAGTGTATATTTGCTTACCTATGGCCACAGCTGTTTCCTGGGAATCTCCAGTGACCATTTTAATGGCAACTCCAGAGCGTATGAGTGTAGTGATCGCTTCCTTCACACCTGTTCTTGGAGGGTCAATTATCCCCACCAGACCCAAAAATGTCAATTGACCCAATTCTGGACCAGAAGCTAGTGCAATTACTACAGAGAAACAGATACAAAAAGGTAAAAAAAAAAAAAACTTAATCCTAACTAAAAAGGCATGAATTTTATTGTCATTTACCAAGGATGTTGGCTGGCCATCACTTTAATCAACTCTTCATCAACAAAGAATGGTTAGCAGCAATGGATTTAAAGGGCAACTATCAACATTAGTGTTTTTAAATACTTGTCTGATAACTGTATATAATGCTGTAAATGTAATTACCCCAAAAGAATCTATAATAAAAAGAAAACGTCCCATGCAGAATAATATGTAAAGGATACGTTAACGTGGAAAAGAAAAATGTGTTGTGTTCATACTTTGGAAGTGACAGGTACGGTACAAATGCAATCACTAGCTGTCAAACTGCCAACCTTTTATTTTATTATACTATATTTATTTTTTCATTATTCGGCAGACAGATGGACTAGGATTAAAAAAAATTGAATTACTATTTTAACAATGTAACTGTATCCTCAATTACCTGGTTAAATAGAGGGATCATTCAAGAGCCAAACATGTGATGCTGCCCTTGAACTATTTAATTTTCCATCCAGGCTATTCAATGTCAGTTGGTGTAGCTCATACACAGTGACATTATTGGACAAGTGGCTACTGTACAGGGTAAAATTGACAGTCAATGAGAGGTCATGACAGGACTTGCACCATTTAGTAAGTTAAACAGTCAGAAATATCATACCTCGGAGACCTGCAGTGCCCATATATGCCGTCTCCTGTTGGTAAAGGTCTCTTTGCTGCTGGTTCAGAGGTAAAGACTGGCCTTTGCTGGTATAGCTTGTGCAATATCGAATAACTTGCTCATAAGCACCCTTCATAAAGCAAATTTCTGGTTTATCCTACAAAGAAATGATCAATATGTTTTGTAGGTTTCTTTTTGAAATCATACTTTACCAGTTAATGTAAAATGTGAGTGTTTATTAGTATACACTGTAAATCTGGTTTAAATTCATGATATAAAATTTGTTATATCATAACCGTATTGCAGGTACAGTTTACTATGAGTAAAATACATTCAACACATGCCAAAATAACCCCTAACTATGTATTTAAACGGCGCAGTGTCCCCTATGTTTATCTGTGGTGGCTAAGCATTCAAGAGGATTTCACCTAGTCCTCAGCATAAATAAGTACACCCTAACAGATTTGTCAGAAAACCTTTACAGTCCTTTCAGAATCAACATTTTCTATGGGGCACTATACTACAAAATACTCCCACAAATGTGGGCCGTTGATGGCAAACAAGATTTGTTAATTTGCGCACACACAAACAAAAAAAGTATTTTTCCTAACAAATTTATTCAAGACCATGTTGCAAAAATAAATACACCCCAATGAAAGTCATAGTAGCAAAGCTAAATTTTAGACAACAAAATCCTAATTAACAAGAATTCAACTACAGGTGAGTATAATGATTAATTAAACAGGTGTCCAGCAGACAGGTGATTATAAAAGGGCGTTACCTAACAAAGAAAACTTATTCATGCTGTCAAGAATGGCACCACATGGAAGAAAAATGTCACAAGGCCTGAGAAAGAAAATAATTTCTTTACACAAGAAAGGTGAAGGCTACAAGAAGATCAGCAAAGCTTTACTCATCAGTCAGAATACTGCAGCAAAAGTGATACAAAAATGTAACAAAGGTGGAACTGCAACCATCTCACAGAGACGTCCAGGCCGTCCACCGAAGTTAACACCTCGACAGGAGCGTCTTCTCATGAGAAGGGTTGAAGAAAATCGCCATGCAAGTTCACTGCAGTTAGCTAAAGAAGTAGAAAGCCAAACTTGGGGTGATTGTTTCTCGTCACACAATACAGCGCACACTGCAGAGGAATGGGTGTCGTCCACAAAGCAAGCCTCTCCTAAAGCCCATGCACAAAAAATTCTGCCTAGGGCACATGCTGAAAAAAAAAGATGACTACTGGGACTCTGATCTTGGTCTCATCACTCCAGAATACAATGTTTTTGGAACTGATGGCTTCAAAACTGTATGGCGTTGCAAAGGTGAGGAGTACAAAGAAAATTGCACGGTGCCTACAGTGAAACATGGTGGTGTCAGTGTCCTTCTGTGGGGTTGCATGAGTGCTGCTGGTGTCGGGGAGCTACATTTCATTGATGGTATCATGAATTCACAGATATACTGCTCTATATTGAAAAAGAGAAGATGCTACCATCACTCCGTGCCCTTAGATGTGTGTTTTGGATCATTGTCATGTTGGAAAAGTGCACGACGACTAAGGCCACTGTGGCATTTCTGAAGAACAGGGTGAAAGTGATTCAGTGGCCAAGTATGTCTCCTGATCTGAACCCAAATCGAACACTTATGGGGAACTCTGAAGAGACAAGTTGAGCATCACTCACCATCCAGCATCCAGGCTCTAAAAGAGGTCGTTCTTGAAGAATGGAAAAAGATAGATGTTGCAATATGTGGCCAACTTGTTCATTCCATGCCTAGAAGACTTAGTGCTGTCCTTACATATCATGGAGGTCACACAAAATACAAGATGTAGTAGTTTTTGCTGTGGGGTGTATTTATTTTTCCTTCACCTAATTTGAGTAAAACTGAAGATTCTATAATCTAAGTTATATTATTAACCTTACTTTCATGTAATGAGCTAAACAAATGTTCTATAAAACTTGGTTTTGGCAAAATTTTGAAAATTGTTCTTGTGTTCACTGAGATACTGATTAAAATCTTACTGGTCAAAGGGGTGTACTCATTTATGCTGAACACTGTACATATTAGAAACCAGTGACATCACAATGTACCAAGTTACAGGGATTGAGCCAGTGACACCAGTCATGCTGTTGGAGTTTTTTTACTTTCCTAAAGCAGCACAATGATAAACTTGATATGCACTCTATGAAAAAACAGGACAGGAATGGAAATCTTTACAGAGACAGAAGAAATTAATAAATTATAGGTGTGTGGCATGGCATACCTGCTGAGTTCTGTGCACACATTTTACAGCCATCCACTTCTGCTCAGAGCTGAACGGGTACTCTTGTTTCCGGATATAATCATGACGGAGTCCATCAAGCCCCATCTGCGTGAAAAAAGACACAAGAGTCACAATGGGAACAAACAAACAAAACAAAAGGGGGTAATAGGTCAGTGGACAGCTCTGGTATACTCAGCACTGCTCATTCATTTTAGTGTCAGAACCCCTAAACACACTGGGGGGAATTTATAAAAACTGGAGCAGACAAAATCTAGAGCAACTGTGCAGGGCAACCGATCAGCTTCTCTCTTCAGTTTGTTCAGTTAAGATCTGAAAATGAAAGAGAGAGGCGGATTGGTTGCCATGCACAGCTGCTCCAGTTTTGATAAATTCCCCTCAGAGTGTTGAGATTGCGTGTTAAAGGTGCCCATACACCTTACGGATTTCGGCCGATTTTCGTATGTGATCGCATTTTCGGCCGATATTCGTAAAGTTAATGGGCAGTGTACAACCACAAATACTGAACAATCGATCGACTTTTGATGAACTAGCAGGTTAGAAAACTTCGGTCGAATGTCCGATTTTCGCAAGGTTGGTGCTGTTTCCGTACGTCAAAAATCATAGATTTACACTGCACATGCGCAAACGAAAATACGTGTGGTCGATTACCGCAATTCGACCAGGTGCTTTTTACATTTTTTTTATTACTGCTGATTGAACCTTGAGATAAATCGGGGCAGGATGGGGCTGCCGTACGAAAATCATACGACAAGTTTCGTCCGACGATCGCAAGGTGTATGGGCATCTTTAGATAGTACAACACCAATAAAAATAGCAAAAGTAGTAACTCATCAATTTTTACAAATTGTAAGTAATAGAAACATAACATTATGTGCACATTTTGTATTTTTGGTGCAGTCAAATGTCTTGGCACATGAAATGTACAGTGTATGAGCTTATTATCATAAATGAATAATGTGAAACCTCGCGCCACTACTCCAATCAAGTTAAGCAGCAGCTGAAATCTGTGTGGGCAGATATATAGTATAAAATGAATAATAATATCATAAATGTCACTAGAACGTCAGGAATAAAACACAGATATGAACACATTCTATAATGGCACAGATCTCAGCATGCTTCATACGCAAACTTTTTTAAAATAATGAATCCAGATCAAATATACAATGCCCAGCAAAGTATTTCTTAAAATGTTTGCCAAAGCACTTAGTTATGTTTCAGAACACCTGACTACAACCCTCTCAGCGTTGATTCCCTGTGTAGTAGAAGATCACAAGGGAGAACACAAGGGAGTTTCCAGCAGCGGTCTACTAGCTTGGAGAAGAGAGGAGCAGTAGGGAAGGGAGTGGCTTGCCCTGATGTGTCCGTTTGTTTGTGGAGACACACACGGCCTACTAGCATACACAAGGGTTGCTCTATAGAACCCTGCAAGGGAGAGGAGCCACCCTAAAACAGGATATCAAGACCAGTGCTCAGGGGTCCCGATTTTTACAGCTAAAGCTTTTAAACATATAGGAGCAGCATCCATGGAAAGTGATTTCCATGGAAGTTTTTAAAAATAGCTTAAAAACCTTTGGAATTTAATAATACTTTAACTGCATCAATAATGGAAAAATAAGTGTGAACGGGACCTAGGTTTGGAAACCGTTTTCGCAGGGCTAGTGCCTGAGATATAGATCAAAAGGCATGAAAACTTCACTTCAAATAAGACATGATTTTGATGTACAAAATGTTTAGTGGCGACATCAGCAATAAACTTTTTACAGTAAACTCCGTAACAAAGACTGGAGGACACCACCGAAAACTGGTGGAGAAAAGATTTAACCACAAGGGTCGTAAGGGCTTTTTTCAGCGAGATCCGTTAAAGTCTGGAAGTCGCTGCCACAAGAAGTGGTATCAGCTGAGAGTATTGAATGATTCAAAAAGCATTTAGATACCTTCCTCAGAGACCGCAACATACAGGGGTACAGGTACACTTAAAAACAAGGACGGAAAAGGGATTCGTGTACACATATACAAATACACAATCACACACATACACACAAAAGGTTGGACTTGATGGACCTGTGTCTTTATTCAACCTCAAATACTATGTACTATGAATGTGTCTTTCTTTTAGGCAAATATATTATTATTAATATTATATGTAACTGACATCATCCTAAATTTAGATGACAGAAAAATAAATAGAATATACAGTAACAATGGGATGTAGTTATATTTTCTTTTTAGTATTGAAGTAATGTGCTGTAAAGTATTATAATACTTTGTCCACAAGGTGGCAGTTACCACATATACCGTAATTGTTTCTACACAAGGTTATTGTGTATGCACAGCCCAAAATAAAGTACAATTAAGAATACTGGGGAAGAGTCAGCTGTTTAGGTATGCTCCTACACTACATTGTGGTAAAGCTAGATTTGTACAACCACGTCAGATTATGTATGCAGCCATCCTATAAACAGACCTAAAGTCAGATACTGCTTTTAAATGTGTTGCTCTAATCTTATGCTCATGTTAAGAGTCCTGAAACGTTTTACCTGCACGCTGTTGTGGGCTCCTTTTGGGTCCCTTTTTTGCTACAGCCTTGTACAAGGCACAAACACTCATAGGCTGCCATTGCTTGAGCACTCAATCAGTGCATCTGCCTCACAAAGAGCCACAATGAAGAGGTTAGGCGAGGACAGCGGCTGGGGGAACCAGTAGAAGCCTGTGCTGCTAACAGGTAAGTCATTTATTACTCTTGTTTTTGTAGCAGCTGCAGTTTGTAGTGGCGGACATTAACAAATAAATAAAAGTCAATATTAGGGATAAGTAAAAATTGCCTGCGTTAAGCTCGGATGTAAAAATTGTGTCTCCGAGCTCTGCATACTGTTGTGACATTAAATACAATAAGGGCAATTTACTAAAACTGGAGTAATCAGAAATTAAAGCAGATGTACAAGGCAACCAATCAGCTGCTATCTTCTGTTTGTTCAATTAAGCTTGAAACATGAAAGCTAGAGGCTGATTGGTTGCCATGCACATCTGCTCCAGTTTTAGTCAATTCCCCTCTATGTAGGCAAAGGGAAAGCACCTTGCATCAAGGCCTGAAGAACCATAATAATAATCATGAACATGGCTTTCATTATAGTCATCAATACAGATGTATTTCATTTAGTGCTTGCTAATTCAAAATCTAAAATCCCTACATATATGTTTTCCGGCCCTTCTTAATTGACACCTAAGATTATAGAATATGGCTCAGTTAGTATGAGAGTAAAATGGAGAACTAATAAGGTGATAAAGAGGCAAGAGAAAGGAAAAGGGGAAGAGATTGAGTGAAAGGTAAGAGAAAAAGCGGACTGTAAATAAAAGGTTCCCATTATGTGAAATGAACCAAAACGGTGCAGACACATCTACATAGATACTGTACATTGTATGGGTGAGACAAGAAAGGCAGGCTTCTTTATCCCAAGCATTGAGGGGACGAGGAAAGAAGGTTATAGAATTGTATGAAGGTAATCAATTCTGCTTAGGGTTGAAACATGGGAGGATTTGAAATTCCATAATAAAATGAGTCTATAAGCAGTAGAGAAGCAAATTTAGGAGGATACGTTGTGTTAAGGTTGTTGTTGTTAAGGTAATTTTACTAGATGTAGTCCAATATGGTTTCAAGAGCTCATATGTGCACAAGTCATACACTTCCGTGCATTGACATGCAAAAGGATCAGGTGCGGTATGCCCCATGCCAAGTATGAACCCCGCCTAATAGTTTGGAAACTACTGGCTACATTTTGCAGAATACATCCAGAACTCTGTTCTAGAAGTTCATCATTTTACAAGAATTTTCCTCTCATGGAAACAGACCATTCATTTGTAAACTCGAACAACTGCTGGACTTCTTCAGAAAAGGTTTTATTAAATGCTTAGATCCAGGAATCTAAAAATGAGGGTGGTGTTTCAACTATTTTACAATAACTGAGATTGTGTGTCTCCGTTTTTGGAGTAAGTCTCCAATCTAGTCTATGGGGGCTTGTTACAGTTGAAGAAGATGATACCGGCCCAGCGGAGGCGGCCATGGCTATCATGCTGAGGTAAGCAAGCAGCTGGATGGTGGGATTCTAGGTTTGTTTTAGTTAGGGAGTATTAAATCTGTGCCGTACACATTGACTCTATTTCCCCATTTGTATCATTTACTTTTGACATAGTTTTGTGGTCAGTCTGGGTGTCCTTTAGCTATATGTAGTAAACAGATCAATTACCTATGAAGTTACTGTAATGAGGTCAATTAATATCAATTACAATTCTGTGTGTAGTAGTGCAATGTCTTTCCAAATAAAACAATGTTAAAGTGCTCAAAACATTTTGTAGCAAATTACACAAAAAATGAAAAGGGAACATAGGCAGTGCCTAATAAAGATTTTTTATGTAGGCCCAGTCTCCTTTGTATAACTTTGTTTCAATGCGAATTCCAGATTGTGGATGAGTTATGTGTCTGTGAAGCAGCAGAAGGAAAAAGCACAGTACAGATATAAGCAGTACTAAATATAGGTGAAGGGTCTTACATCAGTTTCTTTATTACATCCTTCCTCCTCTCAGGACTGGCAACACCTGGAACGGTCACAGCTAGTTCTACCACATTCTAAGGCCCACCAGAGCCCTTAGAAGCTGCTCAGATGTACAGGCAAAACCTGACCTCCCCCAGGCTTTAGTAACTGCCAATGACTACATAAACCAGCAAGATGCAGCAGATACTGGATTCTGACAGGCCCTAAATATCCCTAAAGATACAAGGTAAAGTCTATCTAACCCCTTTCACCCTCCACACAGATCTCATGACTTGGTTGAAGTGAACTTCAAGGTATTCATTAGAGAAATACACCATGCAGTATTCACACATTTTCAAACCCTTTTATCCTGACTTGCGGAACAGCCACTTTCAAGTCTGGAGTTAATGGAGTTTTACATTTTAACTGAAAAATCATGCATGGTGATCTGAGGTGAACCATGCAACGGCTCATAAAATGCATTTTCTCCTTCACTTAAAAGTGGAGAGGTCTTTCTGCCTGTGTTTTTAGGATTCATCAGCTTTCTCTTTTTATAAACTGCTGACAAGTTCACCTAATACAATGTGTCTAAAGCTGAATAAAATATGTACCCTTTATAAAGTCCATGTTTACCAAGAACCTTTCAGCATGGATCATTTCATGTCAAGTATTCTTTTATGTGTGGCCATTTACTACTTTCAACAGTGCACCCGTTCCAGAATGGACAAGGTTAGGGATATTACAATATTACAGGCAGTATGTGCTTGTGAGGCGTGCGAAGGAATGACAACAGGCAGGCATTTAAATCATTTATAGTAAAATATACCAAAACCTTTTCTGTATGTCACAAAACCAATTGCCTCAATATCCTATAATGCCACATATTTCATTCTATGTCTCTCATTCAATTGCCTCAATAGCCTATATTTCCACACATTTCATGCTATATCTCTCATTCAATTGCCTCAATAGCCTATATTTCCACACATTTCATGCTATATCTCTCATTCAATTGCCTCAATAGCCTATATTTCCACACATTTCATGCTATATCTCTCATTCAATTGCCTCAATAGCCTATATTTCCACATATTTCATGCTATGTATCTCATTCATTTGCCTCAATAGCTAATATTTCCACATATTTCATTCTGTCTCATTCAATTGCCTAAATAGCCTATATTTCCACATATTTAATGTCATGCCTCTCATTCAATTGCCTCAATAGCCTATAGTTTTACATATTTCATTTTATGTCTCATTTAATTGCCTCAATAGCTTATATTTCCACATATTTCATTCTAGGTCTCATTCAATTGCCTCAATAGCATATAGGTTTACATATTTCATTCCATGTCTCATTCAATTGCCTCAATAGCCTATAGTTTTATATATTTTATTCCATGTAGCTCATCAAGTTGCCTCATTAACCTATATTTCCACATGTTTCATTCTATGTCACGCAACAAATTACCTCAAAAACCTATATTATCACATATTTCATTATATCTACACGTTGTGTCCCTTTGCAGTATTAAAATATATTTTTTATTTGTTCTGCATAAAACCATTTTTTAATGGTGGGGCGGGGAGAACAGTAGGTCTTCCATTTAGAACCCTAACAGCAGTAAGTACCTAAAAGGGAACTGAACCTTATTCAACTCTATCCAAAATGGAAGACCGTTGTAAAGTTGATTCGCTGCAACAAACATTTTCTCTTACCACGCTGGCAATATCTCCGACTCAAGCCTGTTGTAGGATGTATGATGGTGTCTTCCCTTTGAAACCCAGAAAGCAGTAAATACCTGGCAGGGAATTAATTTCCCACTCCACCCAAGATGGAAAACAGTTGTGGGTTTTAGCCCTTACCACACTGGTAAATACAATGGTTATCTATAAGGCAACAAATCTAAAATACCACAACAAGTGTTGATTCTACATTTTTCTAAATTTGCTAAAGGCACTTGCTTACCTTCATAGACAGTGCAATCAAAGCCCCTTCTGTTGGCTTGCCCATTAATGTATTATTCCTTATTTCTGCATCATTACACACATTTCCTGCCTGTAAGAGGAAAATATAAAGATTCATAAATATAAGCATATAAAAATGCTATCCATCCATATATTCCCAACATATCTTATTGAGAAATGTATGTTTTCAAACTGCAGGAATGTCACATAATGGTATGAACTCACTGACTGTTTTCCTAAAAACCTAATTCTTTGTTTTAGCAGAAACTTGTGTGATCTATTAGTAATCATCTTGGGCTCCCAAGACGCGAAGCAAGCAGCCTTCTGGTTTTATCTGGCATGTGAAAAAAAGTGATATAATTATATTGAAAGGCCAGCAGTTTAACTACAGTAAGTCATATCTGAGGATTAAACTTTTATTTTAGTTTTAAAGCAGAAGTAAAGTGAGGGATGTAAAAAAAAAAAAAAAGCCCCCTGGAGTTTTTAGCCACAATGTGCTATTATGTACAACCTATTAGTATATTATGGGAGCCTTGATGGCAAGTGATCCTCTCCAGAGCTGCACTTGTTCTTCCGGGTTCCAGTTCTTTGCCCACTTGATTGACCAGGCCCCAATGACGAAGCTCCCCCATATGTGCAAGGGAGTTACATGATCTCAACATGCTGAGCCTGTGCACTAAGCTGCGCATGTGTGGCTCTTTGTTCACAAAAAGTTTTTCTGGCAGGCAGCAAAAAGCTTTTATGGAAGAAGACATTTAAACCGTCTCTTTTGCCATTAAATGCTTGCCGCATGGTTTTTTTCTGCCACTTAACTTCTGCTTTAAGTAGAGTGGACAGTTTTGAAACCTTTCATGTTCCTATTGCAGTCTGTGTCCTACTGAGTAGCCTAAACTTTTCTATTTGTCCTCATCAGCATTGTTACCAGAACAGAAAGTGATGGGAAATGAAATTGTTTTATTTTACAAGCCCTTATTAATGAGTTTTCCCCCCCCACATTTAGTTGCACAGCAAGCTAGCCATCAAAAAGCAACAGTTAAAAATGGTTGGAACAGTGCTGAACGCTGTTGTATTTTATTTATACTTTTTCTTAAAACTGTTGCTCCAAAAGCGCAGGAACCTGAGATTTTATTACAGCCCTGTTCCCTTCAAAGTCTAAAGCCCCTTTCACACTGTCCGATCACTGATCCCCTCTTGATCGGAGCAGTACGGATCGAATGTGGGTCTTGCAGTGGAGAGAAGTCAAAGCATCATCTATTAAATTGTCAACATTTTAACAGAGCTCAGTCTTGATAGACAGACTGAGCTCTGTAAAACATTGACAATAAAATACTGATACTTTGACTTCTCTCTGAGACATTATATATTATATTATTATATATATATTACATATATATACATACATACACTGATGTCACACTGGATGGACTGAGTATGAATCTTCTACTCTATCCAATGTATGATCAATAAATGTCTCCATGACCTCTCTACTAATATTATACAGTATAGGATGTGTTATTGCTCATTATTCTCGTGTGCTGACCAGCTCACCTTGTATTATTGATGCGAATGATACAGCTAACAGAGGCACTAAGGACAGACCATCTAGATGTTCATAATAAATAATGCATTATCCTTACAAAGGGTTATTGTGATAAATGTCTTACAAGAGGTTGTGCAGTTACAATTCATTTATTTAACTGCAATTCTGTCTCTAGATCAAGCTCTTGACCTGGCATTAAATCAGTGTGCCAGCACAGGAAAGGACTATAAGCATAACAAAAAGGGGAAAGAAAAAAAAAAGAAACTTACTTCAACCACTTTACTGATGGATGTACTGCAAAAACCATGAATAATATCACCGTCCACAGTAACGTCACCAAATCGATTGTAGCCAACTCCAGAAACCTTGTAAATACAGACCATCATTTATTACATTGGTAAGGTTGAAAATAAGCATCAATTTTTATTACGTCCAACCTAAAATGCATCTATAAAGGGAAACTATAATGGTTTTGTGTCATTTTAATTTCAGTTGTTTTAAGTTGATGAGTTTATACACTTCAATAGACTTCAGATTTCAGGCTAAATTATTACATATTTCAGGCTAAATTATTACATATTATCTTTGTTTTCTGCAAAAGAGAGAAAACAGCACATAAAGCTCAATTTAAAACTTGCTTTGACTGACTAAACCTCACGCTTAAGCTGGCCATACACAAAATTCCTGCTGAATTAACCAAAATTCAAGCCATGGGTGGCACTCCTGGCCGAACAGTGACTCCATCCAACCAGATGCAGTCTTTATTTGGGTATTCAGATTTCTGTGGGTGCCAGTTGTCTGATAACAATAGCAGGCAGGACAGATTCACACTGTTTTGAGTGGATGAAGGAATCTTATCAGATTCCTTGGGCTGAATTAGAGCAATCTTTGAGAGTATGGCTAGTCTTAGCCAGCTGATAAGGGATGAGTCATTTTATGGCTGGATGACTCATTGATGGGAATTTAGCAAAACTGGAGCAGTTGTCCATGGCAACCAGCTTCTCTCTTTAATCCTTAAGGATTAATAGGACTTTAAATTCTGTAAACAATGAGCTTCTTTCAGCATAGCTGACAGTAATACATTACTACACATATAAAAAGATTAGAGCTCCACTTGCTCACTAGATAGACGACTATATAATAGTAAGATGCACTATTTCATATTTATGTACCCAACAAAAAAAAAAAAAAAAGGAGTTTAAAAATGTATGTTTTAAGCCATGACCATGTACAAAACCACTATACATTCCCTTAAGTGTATTTCCACTTTTGCAGCCAAATTGGGATACTTCTATATGTTACATGTTCTTATTCACATAGCATAACTTAAAAAAAAAATGCTGCTGGCACAATACCTGCTGTATAATGAAAGAAAAGCTGTTCTCTGTACGCAGTTTTGCTCTCCAATGTACGAGGGGCTGGGCAGGTTAATATTAACATATTTAACCCTGTTTGTACTGTACTGGCAAATCTCATCATCAGTTAAAGACCTAGAAGCATTGTATATTAATGAGAGAAAGCTCAGTGTGTCTTTAAGCTGGGTATACACTAGTAGATTTGTTTCCCATTCAGATTTCAGGCTAAAATGGAAAAAAGTTTAACAGGTTCCTCCTTCCACACTAAACAGCATGGATGGAGAAATCACTGCGGCTATTGTATTTTAACAGTCGGCCCCACTGGCTGTCAAAATATCTTAACAGTCCCTGCCTGTGATTAGATGTAGGTGTTGCTTGGCCAACAATTTTCCATTCGGCTCCTTTGAGACAAAGGAGAGGCAACTGTCATTCTGATAGTAGGGTGGATCCCAACAAAATTGTCAGGATCCTTCCCGGCTGCAGTGCCGCTCTGCTCTGTCAGCATATAGCAGGCAATATCCCACTATTTGCTTTTTGTTTTGGATCACAGGAGGACTTTTGTAGATGTCCTCCTGTGACCCTAAAGAAAACTACAGCTAAAACAATGTTTGGCCATAGTTATCTTTTAATCGTGGGTCTTAAAACCTGTCAGGAATATTTGTTACTTGTTTGTTCTTAAATTCATAATCGTCAGTGAACAATTGCAACCACTAGTTTCATATAGTTTCAAACCCATGGAACTGTTAACCACATACCTCAGCGTGAATTCCATCAGATGTAAAAATGTGAGTTACAGTCATCTCGTTCTTTGTTAATGTTCCCGTTTTATCAGAGCAGATAACATTACAGCAGCCTGAAAGAAACATTTGTCACTGAGGCACCAATCTGGACCCAGAATGTGGGAAAAAAAGCTTTGCAATTATTTTAAGACAAGACACACGGCAGAATGCTAACAAGATCAAAGTGTGTTAAGAGGGTGAAATATTCAAGGTCTTAAAACACTTTTAATGTTTCCACTATTCTATTATTAATCATGAACAATATGAGTTTCTAACCTGTCTCTGCTTCAAGAACTAAATCAAAAGATTGAAGAATAAGCAGCAGGGGGTATGAAGAAAGGTAAGTATGTGCTGCTGGGGATAGGCGATTAAAGAAAACCATTTGCTTTGCTCTGAATGAACAAAGCACAGGTTTGCTTGAAGTTTTTCTTTACTGCAATGGTTACAGATACATTGTTCCTATAACTAAAAACCTAAAATGAAGGGCAAAAAAAGAACTTGCTTGCCTCTCCTGCTGCCGATTGCTGCCTTAGTAAGTAGAAATTACAGTTCCAGAAGCGTTGATTTCCTTGTCCCCCAATGACTGCCTTGGTTCCCTCCACCAATCTGTGTCTCTGTGGTGATGTAGGGCCCAACAGGTCAAACCACTGAACGTGGTGAAGCACAAGGAATTTGACTCCCCCAGAAGTGATGAGATCGAAAGAGTCATCAGTAGGCGATTTCTCTTTATTACCCAATTGCTCTATGGTGCTGGCAGCAAGAGAGGTATCCATGTTCTTCTTTGTAGGTAGCCTTTTAGTTTAGGTTTTAGTGGCAACGTCGCCTAAAAGGAGAACTCCAGGAAGCATTGTTTAGCTCTAAACTCTCCCCTTAATAAAATAGTCCATGGGTTTAACAATCTTGACACAAAAAATGTGAAGAAAAAAAAAAGAAGGAGATCCAACATGTCTGTGTGATTCCCCTACTCGTGTGCACCTCACTTAAAGGAGCTCAGAGTCTTGCAAAAACAGGAGCCATAATTCAAATGTTGCCTTAGAATTCTTATTGACATGTTTACCGGATAAACCAATTTGCGGATTGAGGACCCAGGCAGATAATAGCAGGTACAAGCAAGTGTATAGAATGTGATGACTCTGGGTCTAAGAGCCAGCTGGCTCGGAGGATCGGGTAAGTATAACTTTTGACCCAAGGCAAAAACGGGCACTTTGGAGGATTATATGTATGTTTTTTGTCCATTGGGAGAAGGCTATACTTCACACATATACTAAATCCCGATTCACCACCTCACTGTATATAATTTCTCATTGAATGCATGCAATAGACTGAATCTGGCAACTATTGTACAGAATACAAGTAACTTTTAATTCTGGTTTAAATTTGGACCCAATAGTCCAACTTGGAATCCAGGAGTCAGATCTGGCCATCCCCACACATAACAAAATGCAATAAAGACTTGGTATCAGCAGCAAGTCCATACAGATGGCCTAATTCATCATGTACGTGATTAATTTATACAAAAAACACCTACTAACCAAATGCCCAAGCATATACTTTAGGAGCACTGTGGGAATCGGAGACCCTGCTGTAATAAATGGGATTATTATCTTCTATGCACAAGACTTGTCTGGTAGCAAACTATAAAGACTTTGGTATGAATGATGGTTTATTACTGGCAAAATACAGTGTGATCTTCAAAAATATACACAAACAGGCAGTTCCGAATATTTACTTTGGGCATACAGATTTTAAGTTTGTGTTTTTGCAACTCAGATAAACCGAAAGAGCATTCTTTTGTCAGACAATGAGGTGCACATTTTGGACAGAGGACAACTGGTTCACAAAAGGCATGAAAGAGACCATTTAGGTCAAAATGGAATAACCATCCCTAAAGTACAACACAAGTGAATAACGTGTGTAATAAAGGTTATATTTGCAGAAACTCGGTTTTGTAGGTGTTAAGTGTTAACTCGCAGTAATAATAACTTGTTTCAGCATATATATTAAGCACAAGTGTTCTCCTATATCTGTGTCTTTAAAAAAAAAAAAGTTAAAGTGAACTTATCACAAAAACTAAGAAGGGAACATAACCATACAACACAGAGGGCAGTAGAAGATGTACGCAAGACTCTTAACTGACTTCACAGGAACACATCTATACAGTATTGCAGAGAGACAGGGAAATGTGCAAGGTCTACTCCGTCAGCTAGTGAGCATTTAAAGAATCTGGCTGTTATGGTAACTCATTGGCTTCAATACTTTAAGTCGGCGAGCCAGGACAAAAGACATACAAGAAAAGTCAGAAAAGATAGAGATCTTTAAAGCATATCTGTTCTGGGCTAATGACAAAGTGCTGAAGACATCAGTCACGATGCCAGTTAGGGAACAAGCATGCACATAATAGAAAGTCAGCACTGGCAACCTCCCTATTTGTTCTGGAAAGGTTTCTATCAAGAGTAGGTCCATAAGATGCCTGTATGCACATTTACTTGTAAGCAAATCTTCCTTTGTGCAGTCCTAAAGCCCCTAAAAGGTATATTGTAGAGAGGAACATGACATAAGTAATAGTAGTACCACTTGCGTACTTATGTTGTTCTTAAGGACTTCGTCGCTCATGTTATATCATGGACAGATTCCCTCTAAGTCAATATTAACACTCTACAATTATAGGGACATAGTGTTTAAAAATAAATTAAAGTACTGACTACTCAGTGAATCATTGATCTTCATTTTCAGCAGCATTGAAGACTGCAGATAGTACATTAAGCCTGAAGGGATTAATAGAATGCAGAACACGATATGCTAATTTCATTTGAGCTTCATACCAAGTGTTTCTACAATGGGCAATTTCTTCACAATGGCTCTTTTTTTCACCATTCTCATCACGCCAAGTGCCAGTGTTACAGTCACCACAATAGGTAGTCCCTCAGGAATAGCCGCTACTGCCAGACTTCAAACAGAAAAAAGAAAACAAGGTTATATTTCATACTGGCTTTTTTATGTTTCAGTATTGCTAACCATTTAATGTAAACACATTTAAATCACAAAACACAGATCAGACAGTGGCTTTTTCATTAGAAGTGGACAGCAACAGTATTCAGCATGTAGGTGCAACACAAGCACCTACCTAGTTACATTGTAACATTGCACATTGAGTTTAGCCCCCATCCACCTTTATGATTAATGGAAGTGGGTCCTGCACATATTACAAGTGTGGCAAAAAGTCGTAGTATTGACAGTGTTTGCAACATTTTTTTGTTTTATTCCAAATGTACTGCAGAGAAAACCAAAACTGCATGCAAGGCAATTTCTGCCAACCGTACATATAAATTGGGCTATGATGAATGCGACAGATGCTCTGGGATCTAGAAAGCATTAAGCTTCTTCTCTTAAAATATTATGCAATGCCTCTCTGCATTAGGCCTATGAAGTACTTTTAGAGCTCAGATTAAACTGTATTAAAAAAAAAAAAGGCACGGCGATCTTTTGCTATTGATATTTGAAATGTTTAAATGCTCATATTTTAAGGGAACATAGTAAGGGACAAAAACATTTTCAAATACGATAATGCATTTTGATTTAATATAAACCCGTTACATTTGAGAGCAAATTATATGATGAGCAAAATAATAAACAGAGGTTACGTTCAGTGAAATCGGCATGTGAAAAAGATCAGTACATTCAATGATGGGCAACTGAACAACTGTAAACAAAAAAGCTGCATTTTTTTCCTCCCTTTATCCCTTCCAAGACTCCATATTGCTTTTTTGCTATTATGGGCCATCACAATAATCAAAAGTGGAGCTTTTCAGGTAAAAGAGGGCTGGACCAAGTTCAACTTTTTCTGGAAAAGTCAAGATAAGACCAGAACCTCAGATGCCTTTATCAACTGATAATTCTGAAATGTAGTTTTTACTGAAGGGTAACCTTATTTTATACAATTATATGAGCAGGGCTACTTTAAAGATTGTTTGCCTCTACAAAGGAATTGCTGATGTAGACATGCAAGTCCCCTACCTTACGCCAATAGTGAACATATCGAGTATATGCTTCCCTTGTAGCCAGCCTACCAACATTATAACACCTGGAAAAAACAGATACCGTAGAAGTAGCATTATATCTGGAAATATAGCAGGCAGTATTGAATTTATAACTAAGCATGAGAAATACAGCTTATGAACAAATGAAGATAACAAAGTTGAGTGACAGTCTATTAAATGTGCTATCTCCCTAAGAGAGTACTTTAATTCATAATAATGTTTGATGTTCTGCACAGGAAAATGGAAAGCAGCCAAGAAGACTGAGCCAAAAATACCTCCTGACACTCTGAAAACAAGATATTATTTTCTGCTATGATAATTGACTGACAATAACTGTGAACCACAGATGATAAAAACTACAAACTGCCGAGGAGGAAGGCAAAAGGCTGCACAGAATACATGCTCACCTATTATACCAAATGAATACAAGGAGAGCTGCTTTCCTAAAATATCCATGCTCTTTTGCAGCGGAGTTTTCGGTGCCTAGAGAAAGAAAATGTTATCTCCATTACGAAATCAACAAACTGATGCATAAACGCAACATGAAAATGGCCCATGTGTGTTTTTCTAATTGGCCATCTGCTAAAGCAGAAATATGAAATGTGGGGCTTTTCGGATGCCCAAGGCTGCATAATAACATGGTTCACATGGGCAACAAATGTCTTACTGTTTGCCAATATGACTGGCATATTGCTGCACTGCTGTACAGAGCATATGATTATTGAATACAATGATGACTAACCCCCACTGACAAAGTGCTATCAAGGATAATTTAACCAGTTGACATCCGCGGCCATCCAGGCCATTTTTCAGTATTCAGCGCTGCGGTACTTTGACTGACATTTATTCCGTCATGCAACGCTGTACTGAAATGAATTTTATACCCTTTTTTGGGGACAGATAGAGCTTTATTTCGGTGGTATTTATTCACCACTGGGGGTTTTTATTTTTTTACTATATATTTCCACTTTTGAAGCCAAATTTAAGATACCCTAACTGTATGTTTGTTATGCGTTCCCATTCATACAGCATACCTAAAAATATATATTTTTTAAATATTTACCTTTCTAGCTGTTTTTTTTGACGCACAGTTATACATACAGGAAGCTTTTTATGCTTTAAATTGGTCAGTGTGCAGATAAGGGACTGATGGCCACACTAGCCTGTCTGCTGAAATGTTGTGTTTCAGTGGACAGATTAGTGTGCTGTCACAGCTCTGGTAGTGTGTGTTGTATCACACACTGCCGAAGTAGTGACTGTTTACATTTTCTTTTAATACTTCATGTGGCATGCGTTGGGACATGACCTGAATGGGACACATAAAAAACAAATGTTTTCTATGTGTCCTAGCGGCGTCCTGCGTTGATGCGGTGTAGCACAGAGTAAGTCACCGCACTATAAGTGAATGGACCCTTACTGAGGGGCAGTACATTAACATACAATGTCTTCAAGTCTTTAATCCCTTTGTTATGACAGATAGTCCTGCTTATCTAGTTTACCAGTGATAATAAAATCTGTCAGCACAGTACAGAAGGTTAATTATTTTGAAACAAAAACACCCCCCAGCCCCCCAGACAGTGAGAACTAAGCAAGATTTTTTAGACATGGTGTTTGTGGAATCATCAAAAAAAGGTAAGTTGGATTTTTTTTTTTTTTTTTAAGTTATGCAATGTGAATGGGAACTTGCAACAAATATAATGTAGGTGTTGTCCCAATTTGTCTGCAAAAGTGGAAATATACTATAATGTAAAAAAATGCCAGTGGGTGACCAAAGTCTGAACTGGAAAAATGTACATCTCAGATATGCATTATGCAATATGAGCTACCTCTTTTTTCTTTCTCTACGAAATTGTGTTGTGCTGCAGGATCAATATGATTTAGCTGTTGGGTTGACCAGATAACATATTTTAGAGGGTCAGGACGTTATGTCCTGCATGTTATCTACTCTTCCAGAAGAAAGGAGGGAAATGTGTTAACTAGTTATGTCATTTTAGCAGCAATTTACCTAAAGGAAAAGTCCACTTCTACCTCATTTTGTATTTGTGTCATTAAACACTGCAAGGAACCTGGCAAGGTGTTGATACAAAAACATGTATACTGTATGTTTGTGCACTCCATCATGTGGCTAAGACAGTTCAAAGGCTCTTGTTTTATTCTTTTTGAGATTACAATCAGTTTGGCAAAGGTCATGTCATCTTAATTGATGGCACAATGCAGAGTCAACCCAGCTACGCATTTGAGCACACCAATGGCATAAATGTGGGATGTTGTCTTTGTGATGTGCAGGAATATGGGAACTTATTTGAGCTGAAGAGAATACACAGCCTACACGTGTTGGATCTTAGCCAGTAGTACTCTACTAAGAGGCAGTTTCAGCAGATGCAGCATTTATGGCTGCAGACACATTGTGAACACAGCCAACAGCAACATCAATTTTGCATATATATTTTCCCTTCGACCAGAATCAATGAATAGACAACACAAAATCTCAAGACAAGCTCCCCTAAGCAGCATTACAACCTGATATGTGGGCTGCTGGGAGTTGCAGTCTGAAACTCTGATTAGGGGCTCATTCACACCAGGGTGCATGCTAAGCGCTGTTGGGAGTGGTCAGATGTGTTGTTACAATGCATCACACTGTTCAAATTTTTCTTTGTGTATGTAGTGTTGTGATGTGATGTGAACAGGGCACATAGAAAACAATTGTTTTCTATGTGTCCTAGTGTTGTGCCTGCATTGTTCTGTGCAGATCAGTGCAGCTCATGCAGATGGTGTGAAAGAGCCATATATTGTTATCAATACAGATGAGAGCCAAGGTACTTTATTTGCTCTAAACAGCCCCTTCTCAGCTCACCTCCCTGGTATCACTTGTCTCCATCAGAGAGAATGAGAAAGGTTAATGGACAAGAAAAGGAAAATGGTCTCATACATCTTGTAATGGTTATAATGTAACGCATGCAAGTGCTAACATAATGTTCCTTGTTTAAAGCAAACACTTTTAGAATTCATTTTAAAGGTTGTTATTATTATGGATTGAATTTGTTTTTACACTTTGTAATATTACAGTCTAACCCTTAGAAGATGTATAACATGCTTTCCAAACATTACTGCTTTTTTTTTTTTACTACAAAATGTCTGCGTTTTCTGGGGTGGATATTGGAAATGAAATAAATGTAAAAAGTATTACATATGTATTAAAATGTATAAATCAAAACATCAAATGGCTTGTGCAATCTACACCTACAATCAGGACTTTACAAAGTAAACCATGGAAAACCAGGCATGTTGTTCCCATGTACTGTGACGTATTTAATCAAACCAATTGGCGGGTGGGGAAAGGGCCCATCATTACCCTAGGCAAAAATCTTGCCTCATTTACTCCCTGGCCAGAGGTTTAATAGTGTAAAGCTCGGATCTTATGTGCTCTGGTTTGTCAAGTAACATAATAAAAATAAATATTCATTTCAGGCGGCACTAGAGGGGTGAATGTCAAAGTTGAAAACATAAAAGTGTGAAATTGATGTTGACTGCTGCTTGTAACAATTAGGAACACAGTTCGAATGTATTCTTTGTAATGTGCAATCTAACAATATGTAAAGAGGCCCAGGGGAAGCAAGACCCCTTTTAATTGAATGAAAAACATCCACCCGGTATAAATATCATTGCCTCCTTCAACAAATATGCCATCAAACTTCACATGCAGTCTAACACTAGTTCAGGCTGCTCTGGCTGAAAACCCTTTGAAGCTTGCACAGAGCCAGCCAACTGCTAACAATGACAAACACAAGGTTATCAGCTATAGAAGTAAATGGCTAACGTATTAAATTGTGTGAGCATTTAGACAGGGGGCCCATTAGTTTTAGGGATGATGCCTTACATGCACCATAGTTTACAGACTGCAGGATCTGTCATACTCCAAAAACTGTATGGCCACGGTAGCCTGAACAGAAAACCATTTCTACATTTTAATAAGATTTATTAGGGTGTATCATATGGGTGGTGGGGTGTATTTCAAACTTAAATTGCCCATTAAACTTTCTAGTGTTTCATAGGTAAAACTCACCTCTTCTGCTTGCATCATTTTAAAGACCTCCCCAAATTCAGAGTTTTCTCCAGTGCCAATAACTATTCCCTGTATCAAGAACACACAGGCTTAGGGTTAGATGCACTTAAATTACATGAATGGAAAATAGACATGAGAGACTACCATTGCCAACCTCCAGAAATGCTAGTTAACTAGCCATCTCTGGTTTTAACACCTTAGGCCACTATTTCAAAGCTAACATGTTAGAGTTCTGAGAAGTGTACTTGTTCCAATAATTTACCTATATAAAACAGCTTAGCAAAGTGTAGTTGTAGCTCTACTTATTTGCTACATTAAAGCATCTTAGGTTTTAACTACGGATTTCCCTTAACTGACAGGTTATGTCCCTTTCACTGACAGGTCATGTTATATCTAGGGGTACTGCATCAAAATCAAGTAGACTTGCTGACTATTCTTCTAACCTTTCCCCTAATCAGTACTTTAACTATATTTTATGGAATTTTCTTTGCATTTCAACCTGTATGGGTAATCAAGTCACCATATCATTCTGGAGAACATAATGCAAGGTGTGATTTATTGCACTCACTACATGACAGGATGTATGGAACTTCCACAGTACAGATGTTAGGGCATCATTGTAAGTCACCAGTGTTCTAAGCTTCAACATCTGTTTAGGTAAGGTTGTTCCTATCGGACACAGATGGTTTCTTTCGCACATTATATCTTGCCATCAATAAAAAAAAGTGCCCCTTTACAGGTTTAGATTGTGCATACCTGGGCTGTTTGTTGACTTGTTTTGTCTCCCTAGGTATGTAGGTCTGCACTTTTCACTGCATTTAGCTACACATCCCACATTGCTTTGCCTATGTTTGAGTATTGGATCTTTTGGAGCCTTGGTTCTCAACTGGTGGATGTCGACCCAAAAGTGGGTCGCGACCCCATGTTCAGTGGGTCGCCGCATCCCTTCCACTTTTCTAGGCTCCACAGCCCTCCCTCCCCCCCCCTGTAGCGCAGCATTGTCCATTCAAAATATGCTGCCCAGCGCCAAGTGTTGAGTTGAGATGGGGTGGGTTGGGGGAATGGCTGCGAAGGCGCTCCCTCCATACTTTCATTACTTACAGCTCCCTTGCATGTCCTGTAGAGGTGCCTGGACTGAAGTGACATCACATTCTGGGTCCCAGCAGCTATACAGTCACACATGTGAGCTGCACAGGCAATGCACATATGGATGAAGCTCCATCACAGCACAGCAGCCCACACTGCCATATGTTCCATTGCAGTGCGACTTGGGTCGAGGACAAATGTGGGTCCTGAGGTTACACAGGTTGAGAACCACTGTTTTTAAACATAGAAACTTCTAAGTGTATCGGTGGGTTTGAAAAACACAACACTGTTCTCTCTGCTTTGCCTGTCAGTCTGTTGCTTCTGAATCCTAAAGTTTTAAAAAGACGACATCTGAAGACCTACAAGTTATTCCCATGAGGTTTGTGCATTCTCTGTACCTAGATTTAGGGCTGGTTGTCACTATCTCAGCCAAGTGATACAGGGTTCAAATAACCCCTGGCTTGTACTTAGGTTGTACTGGGCGGGTTTGTAACGGGTATGAATGTAAATCGCGATAAGTCATCACAGGATACTGTTAACAAATCTGTTTCTAATTTAACCCCACACCGCCTATTATGCAACTACATCACCTTCATTAGGGATTTTCTTATGGTGGATCTGCCATTTAAACCTAATCACTCAATAAAAGGCACAAAGGTTTAAATAAACAAAAATAAGGTGTTCTGTTTTTTTTTTTAAATAAAAAACTTAAAAAATTACGTGAAAGTTTCCTAATGTCCCAAGCTTGTATGCTTGCTATTCATTTTCTAAAGTAGGTTAGAAAAGGTCACCTGGTCAAATTATTTAAAAAAATCAATAAGATTATGTTTTAAAATGTAACTCTAGCCCTCTAAAATTTGCTGAGGTGCGCAAACAATTGAGTAAGCCATAATGATATATCTAGATACAAAAACCTATACAGGCAGCCCCCGGGTTAAGAACAGGTAAAAAGATTTAAATGCAACTCCAGCCAAAAAAAAGTTTTTAGTTTTGGATAGCATAGGGAAGTGTAACATTTGTGTTGCTGTCCTCACAGTGGCTCTAACCCCACACCATACTAACCAATAAAAAAAATACAATTTGCATGGAGTTCTACTTTAAATGCAACTTGGACAGATGTTTGTACAACTTCCTGCAATGTACAGTAACAGACCTGGAAGAAGAGGCAGGCACGCCTCGTCTGCACATCTAATTATCTGTACAGGAGGTACAGTACTAAGAACGCTGGCACGAGCATGTTAGCATTACAACTAGTGGAACAGTCTGGGACCTCCATTTGTAAGTACGAGTTGTAGGTAAATCGGATGTTCATAACTCGGGGACTGCCTGTATATAATAAAACAAGCTAAATTGGATGATCTCCCCAATGGCAAATCAACCAACATCTTCTTGCAACTTTCTGGGGTTATTCTAAGGGGACTTCCACCCTCACCATATCACAAATGTCAGCTGCTGCTCCCCATTGCTGTTCAGACAATATGAAGTGTTGCAACCACTAAAAAGACTCACAAATAAGCATCTATCCATGATTTGAAGAAGCCCTGACTTTTGGAACAATGTTGATACAAAACTAAAATTTCCAGGCCTCAAGGGACATTAGCAAAATGTTGTGCAGCTGTGATTACTGCTCCCAATAAAAGCTTAGCTACATTACTAGGTGTGTGTATTGGAAAGCATTTAAGAAATCTTACCTTTGCTTTGCCATTTCTAACCAAAGTTCCCATAAAGGCAATGCTGCTTCTGGATGTTAAATCCCCATTAGTTGATGCTGGTTGTGGGGCAGTAGATTTGGAACATGGAGCAGTCTCGCCTGTTAAACTGGACTCATCCACAGACAGATCTATTGCCTTGTAAAACAAAAATTCCAGTAGTGATAAATCTGTGCATGAACATATACATAACACTTAGAAGAAGCACTCATCGGTATAAAAACATCATTTAATGGATTTGTGTATTCTTAAAATATTTTTAAGACTTATTGCAAATCAAAATTTTCTCTAAGTGTATTGTTAAGTGCAACTGGTAAGCTACCCAAACTTGTCTTGATCTTTGTCTCTTCTAATCTCTGTTACAGGGAAAAGCCTAGGAAAGGGAAGGGCAGCAGTAGTAGCCAAAGCCTGTACATGTGCAGAGACTGAAAACAGACAGGAAGAGAGAGCAAAGTGAAGCCCTCAACAGTGCGCTCCTGCTCCTTTGTTATCTAATTGGATAAAATCCACTGCACTTGCTGATGTTACAGTAAAAGGAGGATGATGTCTGGATTACAGAATGGGCTTCACCAATTACAAAGTATTTAAATCGATAAAACTATTTTATTACATGTATTTAACTGTGTATGTTGCAGCTTGCCTAGTTATGCTTTAATAGGTATGATAAGAGAAGTTCAACAACAGGCAACAATGTTTTATAAAAATGAATGCCCATAACTTCTAAGATAAGAGGCTAAATTCATAAAGAATATGTACCAGGATCCTTATTTTCAAAAAAGTGATGGTTATTTACTGTGGCATCCAAATTGCAGTAACATGGCTACAATAAAGATCATTATCCTTACGTTAAATCTTTGTGAATTGAGCCTAAAGTCTAAATATATATCTAGCCATACTAACCATCTAATCTTTTCATTAATAAAATATTCCTTTCCCAATAATACAGCATTCAAAATCCATAAACCTACTTTACCATAAACATATTGTAACAATATGTATTGACCATATATTATAGGTTTCTCATGATAAATACATAATAACTGCTTCTTCAGCTAGCTGCATATTATTCAAGTCCAGCATGATGGGAAGCCACTAAACTTCAGCAGTTCACCGGTTAATATAAGCAATTTTGCTTCTTCAGTTGGCAGACAAATTTATTTTCTTTTAGTGTCCCCTGGGCTTCTCGTACTTGACAATTTGATGTATCTGAAAGCAACGGGCTAGATGCACTTACTCCGTGTGCATTCTGATCAGCTGTGAAGAGTCACTGAAGAAGGAATTTGTTCCTATGTAACAACATTTCTGCTCTGTAACTAAACTATCCAATGTTCATTTCTGAACTATAATCAAGTTCCAGGAGAGCCCAGGGTAAACAATCAGGAAATGTGGACCAAAACAACAATTTTCCTCTAGAAAAAGAACAGTGTTTTTTTGAACATGTAAAAATGTATTTCTCAATGGAGATATTGCTTAAAAAAGGCAAAAAAATAAAATAAAATGTACACTTCATAAAAAGAAAAAATAGATGCATTACTTTTCTGCATCGGAGCCATTAAAGCATTGCAACCGCGTTCAGTAGATTACTGGTGCAATGCTCTGACCTCCCATGCATGTCTGTACTTCGGTACGGACATTGAGTAACATGGATGGGAGGAAGAAAGAATGGACTAGAAGTGTGTCCTGTCAAAGGATCTGTAGATGATTGACATGGCTGTGCAGATGGATAGTGTGTGTGTGTGAGAGATGGGGGGGAGGG